ACATCGGTATAATTGTCGGTAAAGCAAAGGATGTTTCTGCTTTCGTAACACGATGGTCTAAGGAATTCGATGATCCCTACACTACAAAACTCTTATATATATCCCTGGTTCGGCCCATACTCGAATATTGTTCGTGCGTATGGTCCCCCCAATATGCAAAGTATCAGGACCTTATCCAATCGGTACAGAAACAATTCCTTTTGTTCGCTCTTCGGGGTTTAGACTGGGACCCACATCGCCACCTTCCTCCTTATGCCGACAGACTACGCCTTCTGGACCTGCCCTCTCTGATCTTCTTAATTGGATCTCAGGTTATCTAAATGGCAGGACGCAAAAGGTCCTTTTCGAAAATAAACTATCTAATGTTATTAGGGTTACATCTGGCGTCCCGCAAGGGAGTCATTTGGGTCCCCTACTGTTTACATTATTTATCAACGATCTGCCCGAAGTTTTGACCAACTCCGGAGTACATGTATAATTATAACGATGCTACTTGCCAATCAGACTTACAGACAGATCTTAACAATTTTCAAACATGGTGCTGCGTGAACTTATTAAACTTAAACGGCTCTAAGTGCAAGCTAATGACATTCTCCCGTGTCACTCCTAAGCCTGCAACTTATACGCTAAACGGCTGCTCTTTGGAAAAAATTAATATAGTTGATGATTTAGGTGTCCGTCTTTATCCTTAACTTGACTTTATCGATCATATTTCGTGCATGGTGAATAAAGCCAAGGGTGTGCTTGGTTTCATTAAACGCTGGTCGAAGGAATTCAATGCAGTGATGTCATTTCCGCTTTTTTCCCGTCAAATTCAGCTGTTTTTGAAGTATGATTGCTGGAAAATTTTTAAAACAGCGGGCAGCGGGAATTCCAGCTTTTTTAGAAAATTGAGATGCTTTTTTCTTAATTTTAATTTTAATGCATTTTAAGTGCTGTTTTAAATGTGTTTATTGTTTCAAATTTATATTGCAACATTATCTATATATATGTCGGAGATAACCGTTCTTTAATCCCACCGTAGTCGAGCTAGCCAGTTCTGTTCGCCTGCGCAGTCAAATCGTATCTGTCATCACGCCACTTTTCCTGTGGCCCTTTCACCTTTTCTTACTTTTCACTCATACGTCAATTCTAGACAATCTCAAGCTGTCTCTGTCACTCTCTCCTATTGTTTCGACAGACGAACAGACCTCACTCAGTAACATACAGTCTTCTGTCCTTGTCCTGTTACCGACTCAACTGTCATTGCGCCTGCGCGCCAGCGACACCTACAGGGCTACCAATACCTGAGCATGCCGAATAATTCTGTTGCAACAAGCATTCCAAATTTGCACTTATCAACTAACTTTCCGACATATACTTAAATCGAATAACATCATGCAAAAGTCCACACCTATATTTGGCGCGTCTTCCATGATGCCGTTACGGCATTATGATGACATAAAACTAATCCCAATGCAAAATGTCGACGACACTGTTAGCTTTTGGAATGAAGTGCTAACTTACAAGGACAGTGGCGGAAACGTTTTAAGGGACAGGCATTAGTTGCATTAGAAACGCTGACCCTTCCCTGGTCAAATGCCGAGGTTTTTCGGGTGTTCAGCCAAATTAAAGCCTAGTAGTACTAGGCTAGTACTCTGACGACGAAAATCCGCTGTAACATGTGTTATAGCAGAATCGCTGAATATTTTGCTCTGTAACCAGTGTGACCAAAAAAATTAAGGAAAAGCCATGAAACGTCATGAAAATGTACCTTTTATGGCGTTTTGGGCTTTTCTTTGGTCACACTGGACAGTAAACTGTAAACGAATTTGTTAATTAATATGGCATAAAAACGCCCTTTGTGGGTTAAATCCCATATAATGGTCTTCGCCTTGACAGCCCTTATCAATGCCACTTTTTTCCTTGAACTTTCCTTCCATTAGGAGTGTCAGAATAAATAAAATGAATTATTGCAATAGCACCATATCAGCTGTTTGCTCTCTTGATCTGGCAACGCCATTCAATTTTCGCAGGTAACATTTTCGTCATCAGAGTACCGGCAAAATCGACGAGGCAAAAAGTTCTTCTTCTTCCTTTTTTTCACAGAGTCTTTTTTATGGAGTTTGGCCGCTATCACAATTGTTACAGCGGATTTTCGTCGTCAGATTAGGCCTAAACAAACAAAAAGTGGTTTTTAAAAAATCAGCTTTTTTCTTAGTTTTTTTCTGTATTAAATTCCGCTTTTTTCAGCTTTTTTTTTTTTTGTTAATCCAGCTTTTTTTGCTAAAAAAAATGACATCACTGATTCAATGACCCCTATGTTACAAAAACGTTATATACTTCACTTGTTCGTCCTATCTTAGAATACGGATCCTGCGTTTGGAGCCCTCAGTATGGCGTCCATAGTAAACGCATAGAATCGGTTCAAAAGAACTTCTTACTTTTCGCTTTACGCGGTTTAAACTGGGATGCAAACCAGAGGTTACCGTCTTATTCTAGTAGACTCTTACTAATTAACTTACCCTCCTTATCTAATCGTAGAACCATGCTAAGTATTACATTCTTATACAACTTAATCGGTGGTGACGTGGAAAGTACTGACTTGCGCGGTCAGTTAAATTTTCACGTACCAATAGGAAACACTAGATCCTTTTTACCATTAGTTTTGCCCCACTGTAGAACATCCTTTGAACTGCATAAACCCTTTAGAGTCCTCTGTGAAAATTATAACGAGTTGTACACGATAATATCTAACGTTGATAGCCTCCCAAAACTAAAAACTTCAATCTTGACCTACTTAGTACGCATGCAAGCAACCAATCCGGCAATACGCCAGTAGTAGTTTCCCCGCATCCTTTTTTTTAAGTCCTTCGCGTTTACTAATTGCTAACAGAACAAGCACGTGCTTGGTGTCGCAAGTTCCACTTGATATGTACTGTACATAGTGCATCAACGTCTTGCATACAAAAAAAAATTCGTTTCGCGAAGAGGGTGCCCTCGACAAGTTCAGTCGGACAATGGGAAAACCTTTTTGGTGCAGCCGCAGTGCTTTCACGTGAATTTCTGCAAGCTGTCAAGGAGTCTGTGACGAATGCTTATAGTCACCAGGAACTCCTTTGGCAATTCATACCCCCAGGAGCCCCGCAAATGGGAGGATTGTGGGAAGCTGGAGTTAACAGCTTCAAGACGCTGTTTTATAAATCCACAGCCACTCGCAAGTATACGTTCGAAGAACTTTCCACACTGCTGGCCAAGATTGAGGCCTGTTTGAATTCGCGTCCACTCGCCCCGATGTCCGAAGACCCCACAGACTTGTTAGCACTCACGCCAGGTCATTTTCTCGTGGGTGGACCCCTTCTCGTGACCGTCGAACCCGAAATAAAGGGTGCGTCCACTTTAATTATCAACCGGTGGCAGCACCTTAAGGCTCTTCATCAGCAATTCCGCCTGAGATGGAAGGAAGAGTACCTCAAGGAGCCCCATAAGCGAACAAAGTGGCAAGTCCCCACAAGAAATCTCGATGTGGGCGAGTTGGTTATAATCAAGGACGATAATCTGCCATCCAATGAGTGGCGGCTCGGCAGGATTGATTCCGTGTTTCCCGGACCCGATGGTCATGTCCGAGTGGTGAATATTCGTACTGCTCGGGGGATCGTTAAGCGCACTCCGTAGTAGTCTCTTTCGCTAGTTCTAAGTCATAGTTTCGACTCCACACTAATTCTTTCTTCTGTATCCTACTCCAGATCATAAACAATGTTCCCACGTCTACGTAGCGCCGCACAGTAGCGACTCTCGAACAATAAGCGCTGCAAAAATCGAAAAAGTCATGTTCGCAAAAACGATTTTAACCATACTTATTCGACAGAAAATTTCCCAAGGATTCAGAATCTGCAATAAAATCTATTTTAAGATTTTTTTTCGTAGAAGATATGAGCATTCAAAGTTGAACTTTTTTTCGTTTTTTGCATCATACCAAAAAAAATGGGTAAAATGGTCGACTTTCAGGTAATATTACACAAAAACCATAAAACCAATGGTCATGGTTTTTACTTTGAATTATAGATACATTCATAAACTGTTAATTAACCCAAAAAAAACGGCACTTTGGTTTTGGCTTGTACAGGTAAATCGCTACCCGCAAGGTGTCCATTTTTTTCACCTTTTTCTGCCTAAAGTAGTCTATAACTTCTGAAGCCGATGAAAGCCACCGACTACACTATGTCTACAAGTTACGTGGATCTTTCCTGGACCAGAATTAACATTCATCGGCTGCGTCGAGCTGCGTCTGCGAAAATGCAACGACATAAACCAAAACTACTCAGGGTTAAATATACCAAAATACCGACACAATTTCATACATTCCAAGAAATATACTAACTGTAGCGCGTGGCGGTTACACTTTGAATTAAACAAAAATTTTTTTTCAGTTTTCAAATTATTTTTATTTGAGCAAATACATAAAAATAAACATAAAAAATTAAATAAAAAATATTTTTTAAAAATTGTTTTCATTGAAAAAAATTATTTTTTCACTTTGATCCCCTTTAAAAAGGCGTATTTGTGGGCGTGGTACTTTATGCAATACATATATACATTTTACAACAATTACCTGTCCAATGCCGTTTAAATTATTCGATTACCTTATTTGGTTCAAAAGAAATGATTTTTGCAACGCAAAATGAGAAAAGGCGCTACTGTGCATTATTGAGTATGAAAACACTCAACGCATGGTGACGTTTCATGGATCCGCCTTCGTGGATCCGCCTCTGTTAAAGCCCATGTCTATACAGACAAACTCGCTAAACAACATTGGATCATTTAAGAAGCAATAGCGGTCAACATTTGCATGAAATATTCTTCAAAAATTAAATTATAAGGACCGTAAATCGATTTAAATAAAGATTTCATGAATTTTTATGATTTAATGTTTTTTTTTTTTTAATTTTTCGTAATGCTATTAAAAAATTACTCTTTTTAAGATAAAGTTCAAAAGACAAAATTAAATTCCAGTAATAAACTGATTTTTTACCGGCCAATACTTTATTTCTGTTTTCCGATATTTATTACAATTATTTCTCAACATTAATTACTAGGACCTATAACATAATAATAAAAGGATCTTATAACATTTTTCAGTGAGCAAAAAATGTTACTAAATCCCCTATTTTGTGACTCAAAACAAAAATAGGTCCAAATACTCTTAAAAATAAATCGATGTATTTTGTAGGTGTAAATAAAAAAATAAGACAATTGTTCCTGCAACTAATCTTACTTATAGGGCTATGACATTGTAATGCAGTTTTCTTTAATTAGCTACTTCATTAGAACCTTGAAAGAGACAACTAAATGTGTAATTTTGCTTGGATTATTTTGGTAACACGACTACTACTTTTTTTTTCAGTTCAAAAACCAGCGAAATGATATAAAAATAAAATTCTCATTTCGAGACCACTTTGAGTTTCGCGCTCTAATGAACTGGCTAATACACTTTTCAATTACAAGTTTCTTCATTAAACCCGTATTTCGTTATCGAGTATCTAGTATATTTTATGTAGATCTATCGATTTTCGCGGCAATGAAGTAGCTAATGCATTGTTCTAATGCATTAGAGTGTCATATAGTTGTCTTGCGTAAAACGCAATAGCGCTGTCAAATCTTTAATTAAGTCTAATGAATGTGCCAATGTCATAGCCGCATTATTAATGCAAATTACATAAAATTTAATTTTGCTAGTGGAACATAATTTTTTAAATAATATTTTAATTTTACAACCTCATCACTTTATGTTGAATTGCTGAAAACATGTGTACATTATTATTTTATTTTATTTTATTTTTTTCACCAAGGATTAATTATAATCATACTAAAAATAAACTTTTTATCTGAATATATAAAATTTGAAGAACACAGCCCTTGGCTTTAATTGCCACCAAAGATACATTGAGCATTTGAATGTATAGACAAAAAGAATGAATTTGTTGTGTTTTATAAAATAATTAACCATTAAATATTATTTTGTAGGTATAATAAGTAATTAATTAAATTTAATTTTTGTAAACAATTCTTCATTCAACTACTGGAGCACTGAGAATAGACGAATTCCAGAATACTTTTTAACGGCTCACAAGCCTATCGGAACATAAATATTTTAAAATTCTTATGAATATACTTGTCCTTTGTTATCTCATTATTTCAAAAGTTGATGGGCTCTTTGATTGGCGACTGCTATTCTGGCTTCATTAGACTCCCCCTGGAAAGTAAAAATAAACAGCTATTAATTTTTACTTACTATTAAGGTGAGAAATATATGTAACATAAAGCATTTGATATATTTGAAATTATTTATTATACCCTTGCAGGGTATTATAATTTCAGTCAGAAGTTTGCAACGCAGTGAAGGTGACATTTCCGACCGTGATCAGGATCACAGCCGAGTCGTAAGCCATGTCCGTCTGTCCGTTTCTACGCAAACTAGTCCGTCAGTGTTAAAGATATCTGGGTGAAACTTTGCGTAGTCTTTTGAATAGTCTTCGAATACTTTCTCTACTATATATGTCGAAACGGGCCGGATTGGACAACTATGTATATCATATAGCTGTCATAGAAATAATTCAAAAAAATAAATATTTATATAACTTGGCTGTTTTTAAACATATTTTTTTAGTTTTTGATATTGCCATTTTTTATTATGTCAGAATGTCGGTTTTAATTTTAATTAATTCGTTGTTTTTCGACGTATTTTCATCTACTCTGAAACAAGTTCTTTTTATTATTTCAGAATTTTGGTATAAGTTTAATCGGACAACTATATCATATAGCTGACATATAAACCGATCGGTAGATGTAGAGAAAATGTAAAACGGTTTTCCCCTCAATAGGTTATGGGCCCAGACCCCGCATAAAAACCATAGCGCGTTTTCAAAAAGTAATTGTGCGAATAAGTAAAGACTTAAAGGTAGTTTGAGCTTTCTTTTGTATTTTCTAACTCCGGAGATCGACAGAAGCGATATAAGCGTGATTTACCAAATCAAGAAGCTCGATGAAAAGAATTATAATTTGTGACGCTTCGCGCACAATAGATTAAATAAATAAGAAAATAAGTTAAGAAACAAAAGAAGCTGAAGTTAACGAAAAGAATAGATTAAGAGACAGAGAAAACTGAAGTATGTAAAAACTGAAATGAAAAAACGCACAGAAGAAGGGAAAACTGAAGTATGAGAAAAACTGAAATAACCAAACCCCAAAGAAAGAAGAAAGAAATAAAGAGGGAAAAGGAAGAGAACACAGAAGACAAATTTAATTTGAATTAAAAGCGCGCGCGCGCACCATCCACGAACGGGCACACTTGGCCCCGCAACCGTTGGGCACACTGCACAGTGGTTCGGCTTGTATGGAGCTGCGGCCATAATTACTTTTAGTTGTTATATTGTTACAAAATTTTCCCCAAAATTAAAAAAAAATATTATAAATATAAGAAATGGCCATATCGTACGTCTATATGATATAGCTGCTATAGGAACGATCATTTTAAATACAAAATTAGTATGAAAATCTAAACTCCCAGACTATAAGGTTGGTGTAGTTTTACAATTGCTGCCATAGTAAAAATCAACTATTTTGTTTATATTTCATAATTTTAAATATATTCCCCCGTCTAATTCCCAAGCTATACACCTACTAAAATAATATCATATCAAAAAATCATAAATTAAACAATCATATTGTAAGCCAATTTATTATATTAATATTTTCACAGCTATTAACGAATTAATATAATTATGACAAAGATTTATAATGTTTCTTCAAGTAAGTTGAACACAGATTCAAGTAACGTTGATTTATCCTTCTTTCCATGTTTTCGTTGCCCAGATATAAATGGGTCCGACCGTAAAATGAGTGTGTTCAATATGTCTGTGTTTTTTGCAATCCGGGACATTTTTCGGCTGTGATACAACCTACATTTTTTTAATTCCTTATTATTAGACTCGGCAGCTTCTTCCGAAAGCTCTCCGATTGACACGAGTGCATGCTCAATTACAGAAGATCCATGAACTAACACCTTATGGACTATTGCTGGCAAATAGTACCATGGATACTCTTTTATCAATTCCTTAGCAGTATCGATGGCATAATCATTAAATTTGTCCAAATTTATTTTGTACCCCGAGGCGATAGCTTGGAGTATAGTGGCACAACGATGGATAAGGTTTTTATTAAGCCCTGTAATTTCAGAAGCCAATTTTGGATTTGAAAAAAATTTTCTAGCCACATTTCCATCGTTTGACGATCCTCTGCCTCCGTCTCTGGGCTTGTCCACTATTATTCCCATTTTTTTCCGAAACGCCGCTTGAATTTTATGCTTTTGCTCTGGGCCTCTAGCTTGCCACATTTTGATAACGGACTTATAGGAAAGATGCAGAAAGTATTCAAAGAAACATATTTTTGCATGAAGTGGGGATAAACCGAGTTCGAAATATTCTCTGTTCACGTCTTTCTTTAAACATTTATCCAAGTTATTCATTTCTTTTCGAATTGCTCCACATATATAACATTTTGTAGAGGACGACTCACTTAAAGCGACTCAAAAATTCTGTCGGCTTGAGTTGATGTATTTTCTCCTTAAAGTATTTTGCCTCTTCGATTGACAGTTCAATTGTCTCCTTTTTGAAAACGAACTGGCTGCAGTAACGTGTCGATGAAGGCCGCGGATTCTTCCAAATTATTGTATGACAACTTTTTGAAATTAGTTGGAGAGGTACGTATGATGTGACAAATAGGCTCTTGTCCTCTGAATCGTAACTTGAAAAACTTTGTTTGTACTCACTATGGCCCGTACTTCCATCACAACCCCATTTTCCAATTAACGTTAGGTTTTCAATAGATTCATCCGTGATTGATTTAACTACATCATCTTGAAGCTCCAATATGCTCGATGCTGTATTATCCAGTAAACTTTGCAAATCAATTTCAGCATGATATTCATCTACTGATATGTTTTTAGGGTATCTCTTTTTTTTTGCATTTACTATGGCTTGGCAACTTGAAAATAAGTCGAAGGATATTTTGCTATTAACGAAATTTCTTATAAGCAAATATTGACTTTTGGACATTAGGGAAATTACTTCAGTGGGATCAGCTTGCATTGTCGGCTATTGCTGATTTTCATTGCGCAAAGCAGAAACAGTGGACTCATCCATATCAATCAGCTGAGCTATACAACGACGCTTTGTTCTAGATGAAGACTCCGCAAAATCAACCTTTGGACGACCACGACGAGCACTTTCCGCTATATGCTGAGATGAATTTTTGGTGGACTTTTGGAGAAAATTGTAGCCGTTATTTTCCATATTATTTTGAACATCCTTGATAACTTCCCGCAATTTCGCAGCGTTGCTACCACCTTTGGTGCACCATAAATTAAAATATACTGTCGTGAAAATACACAATGATACGAATCTCCTTGGGAATACAAACAAAAATTATAAAAGAAAAATCGAAAAATAATTAGAATAATTTTAAGTAAAAGAAATAAACTGACAAATAGAAGCTGTAAACAATCACAAAAGACGAACACAACAAAATACGAGACAACAAAAACAGAGACACAAAAGACGACATAGGGGCTCCGCAGCAGCGCGCTGGCAAAATTTGACCTTGAAAAAATAAGAAGTCGTGTTAGCACATTAACGATTACAACTACATCCGCCACATTCCGCACCTAACTTTAACGATTTAAAATCTTAAAACTCTGATATATATAAAAAAAAATGTGGAATCGTGTGGGATCACAACTAAAACTTTAGGTAAACAAATTTGAGACACAAAACAGGTACAAACAAATAAGTTTCACATATCAAGTAAGATTTTATTAATTTCATATCAACTCACAAACGCCCATTATATGAATAGATCCCTAACAAGTATCTGTCCCTTTTGCAGCACCTCAGCGATAGACATCCAACACATTTTAATAGACTGCACTGCACTTTCACATGTTAGAACAATTTGCTTTTCCAATGATAACCCAATCCATCTCCTTGCGAATCCAACAGCAGCAAACTCAAATAAAATTATATACTTTCTTCACAAAATGAATCTCATACATAAAATTTAATTATAACATATTCCATACACATATCTTTGTGAATACACTGTAGAGCGGAAGGCCTCGGTAGCCATTGCTCTTTAACCTTTGTTAACTTTTTAGTTTATAACTATTAGTTAGCATTAAATAAATAAATAAATAAATTAATTTCATATCAAGTTAGTATAAATTAATTTCATAAAGTAAAATAAATACCTTGAGCTTCAAAATCCATTTTAAATAATATAAATTTATCAACTTGAACAGTTACCAGTCAGATTTAAAGTGCGCTTTTGCTTCGAAATATTTAACGACAGCCCCGATGCACTGTTGAAATGAACATGTGTTCATGCTTTTGATTCTATTTTTAGAATGTACCGTTCGGTTTCCAGCGAAAACCGGTTTGCAAATTAGGTGATTGGACATTTTACAGACAAACTGTGTAAATTTAATTGAAATATTTTCAAATCGGATTTTTTGGTTTTTGGCCTCTGTGCACTGGGGCAGGCAAAATTCCTGCAGTGACGCTGGCCACACTAAGGCCTCGCCGAGAGCTATATAAAGCGATTGTAATCACCAAGCAGCCAAGTCACTTTTTTAGGAACCAGGTAACTCCAGGTTTCGCCCCAATACATTGTAGTTAGCAGCCGTAGTTCTTCCCCGCTAATCTTTTGCCCCCTCTCTGCTGACTTTCGAGTCCAATTTCTGCTGACTTTCGAGTCCGATCTTTGCTGACTTTCGAGTCCAATCTCGTCCGACTTTCGAGTCCAATCTCTGCTGACCTTCGAGTCCGATCTCTGCTGACTTGCGAGTCCAATCTCTGCTGACTTTCGAGTCCGATCTCTGAGCTGACTTTCGAGTCCAATAACAACTTCTCTGAGCTGACTTCCGATTCCAATAACAACAACTTCTCTGAGCTGACTTTCGAGTCCGATAACAACAACTTCTCTAAGCAGACTTTCGAGTCCGACAATAGATTCTCTGAGCCGACTTTCGAGTCCAACAACAACAACTTCTCTGAGCAGACTTTCGAGTCCGACAATAAATTCTCTGAGCTGACTTTCGAGTCCAACAACAACGACTTCTCTGAGCAGCCTTTCGAGTCCAACAATAAATTCTCTAAGCTGACTTTCGAATGGACCGGTTCGCAAGGTTTCGCTTTATAT